TAACCTTTCCTCGTATGACATTCCTCTAAGACCAGGAATCATTCTTGTGGCCTTGTGGAATCTTGAATTGTGGTGATCAAATTTTCAGGTGCTGAAATATGGAGACGCAAACAGAAAAGGTATTTATTATTTATTAATTCATTTAATGTAATTGACATACAAAATAATCCCATCTGCTGGTGTTCTGCTCCACTATTTCTCCTTTCCCTGGACTCTTGCGTTATTTCCAAGTTGGCACCAGTGCTTGTGGTCAATCAATCAGCAAAGCTTTTTGCTATAAGCCCCACCCTAGTAATCCCTGGTTGAATGAGAACTACCTACCCCAGATTAGGGAAGGGGAACCAAGAACGACCTCCCAGGAACTACAGTGGGACCCAGTTCCTGTGGTGGGAATGTGACAGAAATTCCCAGTTACTGAAAAGTGAGAATGGGCCTTAAAACTCATCTGATCAAAATGTGGTGTGGGAACAAATCTGCGGAAGATCTGGGTTTGGGGGACTGGTTGTGCCTTTAGGAATCTGCTGGACAGAAGAATGTTACTCCGTGGATGTGATCGGAGCAGTACCTGTGTATGTCAGTAGGAGTAAAGATGGGCAGTAACATAGCGTGCAGACCTGAGGAGTGGGATGCAAGATGCCTGGACTTCATCTTACAAAACGAAGGAGGTTGTCCCTGAAAATTCCCCCAAATGCTACATACTTTAGGATTCACTTTAGCTGCACCTCAGACTATTTGTATGAAATTAGCAGATGAAAAGAGCGTGAGATTAGTCTGAGTGAAGTTTCAGTGATTTTGTTTTTCTTTTGTAAGTTCAGGGCCTTGTAACTCCTACATCACTATAAGTAACATTTTTAAATTCTCATTAAAAAGCAGGCAAAGAGTATTCTCTTACAATTTAATTACTGGTCCCCCATAAGTGTTTTTTGAAACTCAAAAATAGCATTTTTTTTAAAAAACCTGCACACTTTTGGGGTGCTTATCTCATGAGGGGGACTAAGTGAGTAGCTCACGTACATATGCATATGCCTGGATGCTCTACTCCCCTCACTTTTTACATCAGAAAGTACTGTTCGCAAAGAGAACTTTGACAGTGAGAAAAGCAGCTTATACTTATTCAAAAGTTGAATTTTCAATACCGGGAAAAGAAGAGTTTCTGAACTGAGCGCTCTAGCTGTAATAATAATAAAATTGCAGATCCTAAGAAAATACTACAAATGATCATATCATTGCTACCTGCGTTATAGAAAAAACACTCTCAAAGGGAATTAAAAAAAAAACAAAACATTTCTGTACTCTGGAAGGTGTGTGTAATTCACATGTCGGATTTAATCAAAATCAAAATGGTGTTCTGAAAATCTTTTTGGAAATTCAAAACGAAATCGAATAACCCTTTAATCTGCAAGCTCAGATTCATTGCTGTTCATACCACATGCTTGTGCTTAAACTGAGTTGTGATTGCCATTCATTCCACATGCATGTGCTTAAACTGGGTTGTGATTGCCGTTCATACCACACGCATGTGCTTAAACTGGGTTGTGATTGCCGTTCATACCACACGCATGTGCTTAAACTGGGTTGTTGCATAAGTAAAGTGACTCCCAGAGATCAGCACCCTATTTCATTCAGATCAGTTTTAGTGTTAGAAGTCTCTGCCCAAGATTGCATTCATGCCATGTCACGTTTGTGGCCGGCTTTCACACTGGTGGTCCATTGGTGATTAGCAGTTTTGCAGTGGATCTGATTGGCTTGTTCCAAAGATCTGCCCCATCTTGCCTGTTCTGTTGCCTCAGAATGAGTGCTTTTGAGTGTCGGCAGCAGGTATTGTAGTGGTCAAAGGCATACGATGGGGCTGGGGTTACTGGTTCAAGTCTCAGGAAATTCCCCACTGTAGTACCTTTAAAGTAATTAATATGAATTACTCCAGTAAAACACCCACTGTAAATTGCTATGGTTAAATTTAATTTGCTGATATGATACCCAGTCACACCGTATTACTATTGTATTTTGACTTAAATTTAAAGTGCCGGATGTGTTTATGCTGCGTTCCATTTATCTTGGATGCCGAAAGTTGGAGCTGGGACTGATGTCACACCCCGAGTTAACAGCGTTCCGGTACAACAAGTTGAAAAGCCATTTAGCAATACTAGGGACCTGTTTCAGAAAGCAGGATTTCTTGCTCAGCCGGAAAACCTGTCAGATTTAAGGTACCCCAGTTTAAATGGCCTTTATCTTCGTTCAGTTACGTTTAGCCTAGACTACTTTAAATCCGGCAAGTTATCAGGCTAAGCAAGAAATCTTGCTTTATGAAACATGCCCAGTTCTAGACAGTTTCATTGTTAGCCATTGTTAACAATACCAGTTGATAACACATTATGTGGTGTTTTGCACATACAAACACTGTAGCAACATGTTCACAGATAGAGGCAGGACAGTACTGTGTGTGCGACCGATTTAATGACACACAAATAGGACATAAATGCTGATAATCAGCAAATAATTTCAGCATTCACTTCTGTTGATGAAGGGTGCAGCCTTGGGGTTGCAGAGGTTCCTCCGTCTTTCCAATTCCTACGTTAGGGGGGTGTTCCAGTTGAAATTTCAGACTAGGGAGTCGAAATTCCCAAGTTACGAGTTTAAATGGAACGCAGCATTAGTTTAATGTGGGAACAAAGCAGGGAAGCAATGACTGCTGGAGAGACTTAATTAAGCAGGAAGACTACAAGAGGGAGTCCTTTCTGTGGTTCTGTGATTTCTTTTCAAAGTACCCTGTCCACTGCCACTACTATACCGAAATTGCATAGGAATAAATCAGAGGAGCTCAACAACTTCTTTTGTCTCTCCTTTACAGGTAATTCTTATAGAATTTCTGCCCAAATATCCTATATTCAGACCAGACTGAAGATGCGGATGGGAAATGCCAGTGTATGACTCTGCATTCCTACACTTAGTGCCTTGTAGACATGTTGGACTGACGGTCTGCGCTGCTGTGTCGTGACAACTCACCACAAACCCCCCACCCAACTGTAGAATTACAACACCGTCACCTTGCTTTAGGGCAGATTTTGCACATATACTTGCGTAATGAGGCTCTTTTGTTGTTCCTGGACAACCCATTTTTAATTTAGAAAAAGAGCAGGTAAGGTAACTATCTGAAGTGAACCTTAACGGTCCCAACGCCCGTGGTGTGCGTAGAGAGGAGAGAGCGTGCTACAGCTCAGAGTCTGAAAGAAGCAGTGGCGTTCTCAGAACACTTTGTAGAAGCCAGCTAGCATTCCTGCGGCTGAAAACAGACACTATACCTCCTGCTTTACCTTAGCGCCTGTTGTCATTATCAGAGTTAGGTGATTGTTCTCTGAAAGAACCCTGCACAAGATTCTTACGTATTTGCCTTATGAAAGAACGCAGTGATGAGGTTCGGTTTAACCTTAAAGTTTAGGAGGGTAGCGATCAGTAGTGAAGTTCCTGCATTGTTCCGTTTTTCTTTCTTCCCACCTTCAGCTAAAATATAATACCACTGACGCATGATTTTTTGCATAGTATATCTGCGGCAACATTTTCTCCTGCATTTTTAAAATGACCTTGTAATACAGTAACGTTCACACTAGCCTATATAAATACTGCTTTAGGTTAAAAAATGTACAGTGTTATGCCATTGTTTACAAAATGTAATATAGGTCTTCATATGTTGCCAAGATATCAATGTACAGTAGATCTATGAAAGATTTCTAAGTAACCTTTCTGCATAAATGAAGCTGTTTACCTAGTAAGCCATATTGTACGTAGATAATGCCAGAGTCCATCCAGAGACCTTCACAGTAGTACGTGGAAGGACAGTTTCTAAATGCCATTTTACCGAAATCGGTCCCCTCCTAACTACTGTGACCTGTGCTGACAGTACTGATGTAAATTAAATGGTTTGCCAACCAAGGAAAAAAATGTCAAACTTGGTTTTATTAATATTGCTACTTTGAGATACATTTCACTCACTATACAGCATGACTGCTTGATATTGACCGGCCTGGTCTCACCCTCAGCCAGTGTTAAAGGGGAAATTCCCCAAACTGTAAAGATCTCCATGATCTTTTCAGCAAAGTGGCACTTATCCCATTGGTGTTCAATAACAAGCCCGTGATGTTTATTTCCCTGCCGCTTGCATCACAGCTAAAGTTCCATTGAAATTACAGTGTGTCTTTTAGTACGAGGGAGCTGGTGACTGGAAGGAAACGCTAAGAACCTGTCAGATCGAAATGGCCAGAAAAATGACCAGGGAGGAAGGGAAAAAGAAAAAAAAAACACTTTTGGGCGGAATTCCCCTTTAATTTCCTCCACAGGTGAAAGTCATATGTACAGCTGAAGAAGACTTTGTTTTTTTTTAACCTCCTAATTCAAAGGTGTAGTTCAGCTGTTCCTCCCCCTCACAGATGTACCTGCAGGTGTAGTGATTTATTTTGTCACAGGGACCTCGCGGGGCACAGAGGTTACCCATGACCTTTGGGCTGCTCGGAGATGTCCTACATTACGGGCGTCTCCAAAGGTCAGTGTGGAAGAGTAGCTGTGCTCAGTTAATGTAGGTGAGCAGCGGTTATGACTGTGATTCACAATCTCTGTAGTGTATTTTCTGTAATAGAGGACTTGTGCCCGTTTTCCAATTCCTTACGAAATTAAGGAGAACTGGAATAAACTGTTTACTCCAAACCCTTATGCAATATGTGTTTGTGGCATTATTTCATTGTTCTCGTGAAATTCGAATAGAAATGTGTCCTGAAAGTGAGCATTATGCAAAGGAAGATCCACCTCGGACCACAGTGATGGATGGATGGATGGATGGATGCCACAAGTGTTCCTGGCTGCTTCAGATGGGTGCTGTGAGGCTCAACAGGTCAGGATACCGTGCCTATTGCCCCAGGGGTGCAAGATAAGTGGGCTGACCCTGCACTCTGACCCCCCCCTCACCTGTATGTGTGTCTGGGTATCACAGAGCAGCATGATGGGATATGCGAGAAGAAGCATTCCAGTGCAAACGGCGAATAGACCTCATTTCATGTCAAATAGATTGCCGGATTCCTATGTCAGTACAACTGGTGGAGCAACACACAATATACTTTGCAATGTATTTCATTTACAGTGAAAATTCCTGTGGTTTCTTATTTTGTTACTGTTAGTAAAAATCCTTATTAAAGACTTAGGGAGCGTAAAGAATTGAGCGAACTTAGAGATAACGATTTGGAACTTTGTCGTTTTAAAATCCAGCTTCTGAATACAGATCGTGGCCACATAATTATTTTGCCTGCTTATCCACAAAACACCACTCGTTTTAAAATTACATGTGGGATATACTTTATTTTTTTTATCATAAGTATACTCATTATTCTTTGAATGGAATATGTAATGCCATAATAGTATTAGAAAAAATAGGACTCGTCATTGTGCTGAACAATAAATTGAACATATGAACAAAGCGACTGATTTAAAATAACTCGGACAATACACTGTACCTGAAATAGATTTTAAAAGCTGAACGTAAAATGAGCAAACAAGTAACTCTTAAAATAGGTGAATGGCATATAAATATGTAAAACAACTTGCCAAATAATGTAGCGTAGTACCAACTTTTTAAAACATGCTTCATTAGGTTTCCGTCTACTTAACATGTCAATGAAATACTGCACTATGGTGGAAGAAAATCACAATTCAATTTGTAAGGCTTTAGGACCCGGGGAAGGGAAGGTGTTTTCCTCTTCGAAAGCGATTATAAATGGCGGGGCATTTATGCAGATCATAAACAGTAACTAAGTATTCTTTTATTTTATTTCGAAATCTATTCATTATTCATTTGTTACAGTGTATCGATGTTTCGGTTGCCGTGCATTATGCTTATTTTCCTGCTGCACAATTCCCCACCGCTGGAAGCCCAAACAAAGCGCCCATTGACCACAGCAGTAAGGAATTACATCTAAATAGGGAAGAAACCATGGCGACTGAGTTCAGCACTTCAGATCCGACTTTGGTACCCAACAATGGGGCCGAACCCGAGGAAGACGAGGAGCATTGGCTTTATGGGGGTAAATACGGCCATAAAACCGCACCATCAACACTATCGGCCGCTGGTCCAGCGGCTACACCGACCAAAGGCCTTTGAAATTAATCTGTTAATAGGCTTTTTTTTTTTTTAAAGTGTTTTCGCCATATAGCCGATTTGATGAGAGAAATGCATGGAGATACTTATAATGCATTATATTGCAATCGAACTATTTTAAGCGTCTCCGATAGAGTCTCTGCAGAGCCGTCACTCCGGTGACAGAGGGATGCTTCAATGAATCCCAGATCACTTTTTCCAGGAATAAACCGTCCCGCGCTCAGTGACCATGCTATCCCATTGTCTCCTTAGTTTAACGACGCGATCTCAAGCCGGAGATCCTTAAATGCAGATTTGCTCGCTTCGGGTAGTCGCGGCGGATAAAGCGATATTATTCACCGCGCAGGAAGTTGTCTGATAAGCGGCGGTGGCGTACTAACGTAGTAGCAATGGTTAATGATGAAATCACAACTTGATTTTTTTGTGCCGGTTTACAGATGAGACCAAAAAACAGAGTGGGGAGAATGTGGCCGGGTAAGAACGCATGTTGTTATTCTTTACGTAGGAATGGTCTTTCGTGTTAGTCACTAAACGTTTCTTAAGTTGTGGACAATGGCCATCATTAACAAATTTTCATTGGGAATAACTGTATAGGTGCCGCCAGCTGTAGAATATTTAATATTCAGTATTTATTTAAATAATATCGTTGTAATAGTTAATATTTATCAAATAGTTAAATATTATTTCCCCGACGATCTATATTCTAACTGAAAATGTGCAGTCAGCGGTACCTATTCCACAAATATAATCTTGTACTAGCACCGAAGACGTGACTCAGTAAACAACGTAGCTTTTATTGTAGTCTCACCGTAACAGTTTATTTGGAGAGTTGTATTAGCCGGTTTTGTAATTTATACCTGCATTATGTTTGCAATTTCTAGTAGAAAAAAATACTATACAGGTTCAAAAGAGAATCAAGTGTAAGTTAACTTCAGGTTGCAGTGACCTCATGTTTATGACGTTTTCTAACACAAGCCCAAATTCACTGTTAACTGTTTATGGCCAGTAGTGGGAAGTTGATCAGGGCAAAGTTACACGTGCAGTGTCACGCCTACTGAACAAAACAATAAACTGGATTAAACTGGATCTGACCGTATATTAAGTGAAATGTGGCACATGCTGAGTGGTGACAAGTTTAGGACAAAATCTGATACATTGACTTCAGGGGTATTAAAAAAAAAAAAAAAAAAAAAAAAAAACAGTGGCTGATGACATTGTATGTCCCCGCCTCACAGGTTTCTGGATGCCAATCAGGAGAGTTACCTTAGCAACACCAATGAGAAGCAGGCTGCCGAGAAGGTAGGGGTGAGGCAGGCGGGGGGGGGGGTCACCCTGATGACCTGACCAGTGGCACGCCACACTGCATGTGACACGTGACTGTGCAGAGAGGGGGCTTCCCCACGCCATCACCATGCTCAGCCTTACCTGCTAAGTCCTTCATGATCAGATTATCTGATGGATCTTCTGGAAATTTCATTCAGTTTATGCAAAGTTCAAAGTTTAGCTTTGATAACCTGGCATCAGGTCTGTCCCATCTTCTGCTTCCTGGAATGGGTTTGAAGTTTGGCGCGACTCTGGATCTCGTAGGCCATTAAGGAAAATGAATAAGATGAGAGGGTATTAAATCAGATCATGTTAATATATGCCTGGACAGAGTCTGTATTTTGCCATCATAAAATGGGATTGTTTTTACTGAAGTTTGCCATATTAGTCCATTTGTACCCATCTCCCTGCATTAATGCATTGTGTGGTGTGCAGAATGATGTAAGTTTCATTTTTAATTTTTTTTATGTTTGATTTAATGCCGTGTAAATGTCCTTTGGGTCCACAGGCAGCTAAGAGCGGTGAGGATGATGACAATGACGAGAGTGACAGCGACGACGACGATGATGTCAAAGTCACCATTGGCAACATTAAAACTGGCGCGCCCTCCTACATGTGTGTGTGCTGTCAATTCTGTGTGTGACCTGTAGGGGACGCTCTGCTGTAATGAATTTATGCATATGTCATGAATAATTCAGCTCCTAAAAAATTTGCTTGATAGATAAAATTTTAATCGTTCATTTCTCCATTTTAGGGCACCACCTATGAACCTGAGTCTCAAGTCAGGACGCAGCTATGGAGTCACAGCTCCAGGCAAGTACCCGCTGGGTACTTGCTCACGCACAAGTACTTGCTTATGCTCACTCAAGTACTGTGGTTACTCTGTGTGTTTACATTTTAGTAACCCTAAACAATTTTGGTTTTACACTGATGCTCTCTTTAATTTTATTGTATTTAACCTTAAAATATATTTATCCTTAAAAAAACAAAGTAATGTACAGTGGTACCTCAGAACTTAATCTGTTCAGAACTCTGGTTCGAATCCTAAAAAGTTTGACTTCTGATCGAATTTTCTGCATAAGAAATAATGGAAAATGAACAGGATAAAACAAGAGCGAGCATTTTTTTCTTAATGGCTTCCAAAACAATAAAGAATGTACCCCAACACTACCCCTGTCCTGCCCCTATCGTCTGTTCCTTCCGTGTGCCACGCCCCCTCATTAACCTCGTGTGGAATCCCCGTGTGATCAGCTGTTTCTGGTTGTTGTCATTAGTCCTATGTATTTAGTCCATGTTTCAGTTTTGTTTCCCTAGTCCTGTCATTGTAACGTTATTATGTTGTTCTGCCTGTTCTCAATTAAACCCCGTGTTTCCCGATCGCTTGAGTCCTGTCCCTGCTTCCCCGGTCCCGGCTCGGCAGATCGTGACAACCCCAAGCCATGCCCCAACACTGCACCAACACTAGACTATGCCATACGGTCCATTGTTTATTTTTATTATTACTCTGTATTCGTTAATTTGTTCATAAATCGCAAACTTTTAGGTTGTAACATTTTAGGTGCAACTATTGTGTAACTTTTTGGTGAGCAATGGCTACCAAAATTATATAAAGTATAGTGTATTACCTGATATTTTCAATAAAAAAAGCACTATCACCTGCAAACGATGCTATCACAGTGAACTCGAGGCTGAGACTGAAGCGTTACCCTTTGTTTCCGCTGAGAGACATGCCGCGTGACTCATTTCCCCGCGCGTACAAGTTCTCTTAGGTCGGCGTTCACGGTTTGACTTCTGAGATTCAGATAGAGTTCTAGGTCATTTTTTTTTCGAACTGGCTGGTTCGACTTTTAATAAATTAGAATTCTCATGAGTTCGAGAACTGAGGTACTACTGTATTCCCAGGTCTTTGTACAGTGAAGTGGTGCTCAGGAGAGTGGAATTTCAAAGAGCTAATTTCCAAAACTCACTCAGTCCACAAGATACATGGATGGAATAAGTTTGTTAGTACGGTCTCTGGGGATTTTTGTTTGGATATCTGATGAAAGTTCTTCCTTGGATTACTTGAGGACTCTGTGAGTTTTGGTTCCCAACACTGTAATGTATGATGAGGAAGCCTGACAGGTCACTGGCGGTCTCATCTCAAAGACAACAACAAATTAACTGAGTTTTGAAAAGTTGCTCTTTGATTGTTAACAGTGTCCAACATTGAGGAGCTGTAGTGATTTGAATATTTTCTTGCTGTTCTTGATCATTTCTTCTGTTGATTGACTGACACTTGGATTCCCTGCCTAATAATGCAGCAAAGCTGCAGTCCAAAGGCATCGACATGGAGGCAGTGGGCAGCATCAACGGGCTGCCTGTGGTGGAGGTGGACATTGACATCTTTGAGGACAAACCATGGAGGAAGCCAGGTGAGGAGCTGTGGGTGCTACTGGCCAACTGAGAAGCAACGTTATAGCAGTTAACAGATAGCATAGGCGTCAACTCATCACTTAGCACGTTGGGTGACTTTCCAGCAATGTATCTGCGTTCGGTATTACAGAGCCAGCAGACAGCCTTGGTCTTATCAACCACTTATCAATAATCTAATGGGAAACCGAAATGTTCCCAAACTCCTGATTAAATGGCATGGGAGGGTCTCTCAGCTCTCGCGTCGCCATTGTGTTTGACTAACCAGCACAAGCCGCAACCAACTCGCAGCCACGATTAGCATTAGCACCTAACAGGGGCCCTTCCAGCATCCATCCATCATCTACCGCTTTTCCGGGTCGGGTCGCGGGGGCAGCAGTCTAAGCAGGGAAACCCAGACTTCCCTCTCCCCGGCCACTTCGTCCAGCTCCTCTGGGGGAATTCCGAGGTGTTCCCAGGCCAGCCGAGAGACATAGACCCTCCAGCGTGTCCTGGGTCTTCCCCAGGGCCTCCTCCCAGTGGGACATGCCCGGAACACCTCACCAGGGAGGTGTCCAGGAGGCATCCTAAGCAGATGCCCGAGCCACCTCATCTGGCTCCTCTCAATGCGGAGGAGCAGCGGCTCTACTCTGAGTCCCTCCTGAATGACCAAGCTCCTTACCCTATCTCTAAGGGAGAGTCCAGCCACCCTGCGGAGGAAACTCATTTCGGCCGCTTGCACTCGCGATCTTGTTCTTTCGGTCACTACCCACAGCTCGTGACCATAGGTGAGGGTAGGAACGTAGATCGACTGGTAAATCCAGAGCTTTGCCTTTTGGCTCAGCTCCTTCTTTACCATGACAGACCAATGCAGCGCCCGCATCACTGCTGACGCCGCACCGATCCGCCTGTCGATCTCCCGCTCCATCCTTCCCTCACTCATGAACAAGACCCCGAGATACTTAAACTCCTCCACTTGGGGAAGGAGCCCTTGGATACAATAAATTATATAAAATGGGACTGGGGGTGGGCAGAATTTCTAGCTACACCCCTGCTTGTCAGTAAATGTATTCATTCGTTTCATTGTGCATGTCGAACCGCAAATGATGTTGGCAACTGTCACAGCCCAATTACACATAATTCTGCTTTATATCTTCCACGAGAAAATATGACAGAACATGAAATATAAACTTAAAAACAACTTATTAATCCAGAGAGACCACCTCAAATCTAAGCTCAGGTACACTGTAAGCAGACTCAAAAAGCTACTCAGAATGGAATTAACATAAAAAAAAAGCTGTAAATAATAAAAAAAAAATATTAAGTTTCACAGAGTTGGAGTTGGTACTGGAAGTGATCAGTATTCCATTTAAAGCATCCCCACTTAAGTTTATTAAGTTCACTGTGGTTCCATTTGTCAGCAATGCCCTTCACAATAACAGCCGGTATTTTGGCAGCACAGCTTATATTCAGGGATCAGGAAGGCAGATTGCCGTCTCCTGCTCATATTTCCCGCGTTGCTGTTCACCACCTAGGTGCCGACCTCTCAGATTACTTCAACTACGGCTTCAACGAGGAGACGTGGAAGGCGTACTGCGAGAAACAGCGCCGGCTTCAGCTGGGCCTGGAGCCCGGGGCCCCCCTGAACTCTGAGAATAAAATCACAGTAGGTAGCAGCAGCTCGAAGGAGGCACTGTCCTCATGCTGCAGACGGCCCGTGGGATTTCAGCTGCGGGCGCCATTACAGGATTGCACGGAACTAAAAATACTGCAGCTCTTGGCCGAGAAATCCGGTTATTAAACTTAGGGACACTTCAAGTTCGGTTACTCACATAAGGTCACTGCTAGAATATCATCCTGCCTGTTATATCCATGACAGATAAGAATTTTAGGCAGGTTAGATGATGTAGGCTGTTGATATGCAGAAGAAGCCCTTAGAGATTCTCAAATTTCCTCTATGTCTGGAAGGTGCAGCAGGGAAGATCCGCCGTTTTGGAGAAAGAGATTGAATCAGCTGCCATCAAATCGGAATTCAAGATGGACTTTCTCCCATCAGCTAACATCCTTCCTGCAGCCAACAGACTTAAAGCTGGACCCCCTCCAAACAGGTACAAACTGCCGTAGCTTAGACGCGACTGGAATCATGGACATACCGCACCCTGCTCATAGGCCATGCTCGGCTGGGGGGACCCAGGCTCTCGGACCCGAAGAACGTGAGCACTGAGATGCTTGCACGCGCCCACCTCTCCACAGGAAGTTGGGCGGCACCATCGATGTGATTGGCGGACAGACGGGAGCCATCCGGCGGGTCGAGGGCCGAAGGAGAGAGATTCACGAACACAATCCCATCCAGGTCAGACTCCCGGTGACCTCGTTGCCCCTGAAAGATTGAAGCACACCAGCAGGCTGCTTTTGTAAACAAAGCGTATTATTCCAAGGATATAAGGGGATCGGAAATATTTCAGACACACCAGTGCATGTATGAATGACATATACAGGACAGTCAGCCGGTTGCCATTCCGCCTGCAGGTGCTGGGTGACCATGCCGGTAAGACCCCACCCTTTGCCCCCCCGGCGGGGCTCCCTCCCCCCCCTATAGGAGCGCCCCCTCCTCACTTCCTGCACCCGCCCCCACCGGTGTCTGGCATGCCCCCACCGCTGCATCCGCCTGGTAAGCTCTAATTCACAAAAAGACTACATTTGAGTTTCAGTCCATACTTTACAGTATGAAACTTCAGCTTGACTAGTGAGTTCTGGGCCAGTCCTATAGTGGATCCAGGTCCCGTCTTAGCTACCTGTCCAGAGGGAGGTGGTGAACTGGCTCGTTTTCCATGGAGCTGATGTGATGCCTGTGTTCATTGTCGTCATCCTTGGTGACAAATACTGCTGGCTGGATGCCTACGAGTCTGTAGGCAGAACAGCTAATTCTCTGAACAGGTTGCACAATACACATATTAAAGGATGTGTGTGTGTGTGGGTTTGTATTTACCACATTGTGGGGACCAGTTATCCCCACCCCACAATATGGTAAAACCTGTGACTTTTTAGCTAATGGGGATATTTCTTCAGTTCTCACAATATAAACCTCAATTTTATAAAAAATCTGTGAGTACAATCAAAAAACTGAAATAACCGAAAGTCTTGTATTTTGTTTGGTTACTTATGGTTAGGGTTAGGGCTCGGTAGGGGTTAAGGTTGTCATAGTTAGATTTATGCCCATAGAAATGGAGAGTCCCCACAATGATAGGAATATATGATGCGTGTGTCTATCACCCTTTCTGGCTGGCATTAGCCAATTAAGATTTGGAATTAAATAGAAAACCAGGTCAATTTCATCGTTGCACTCAGGTTAATCTTTCTGATTCAGCTTGAGAGTGCAGGCATGTCATTGCCCTTTGTTCAGTGTTTTGGCTTCATTTGGTGGCACTGATACCCATCGCTGGCCTGTCTTCACAGGTATCCCCCCGCCCGCCATACCAGGTAGGTCTCTGTGGTGACAGCCGCCGGCCATTGAGCTGCTCACTGGTCATTGTGTAGGAACACGCAGCACATCATCGCGTCTTGTGTTACAGGCTTATTCCCACCTCCTTTGGCTCCACCCCCTACTCTAATGATGCCCCCGATGGATGGGTGAGTGGTGACATCTGATGCCTGCCAGGACTGGTAAGTGACCACGATGGACACTGACTCCTGTGCTGCTCCACAGGAGGTGCCCCACCACTGGGTACAACCCCAGAGCTCCTCCCCCCTTTGGGTACAACTCCGGAGGTGAGTCCAACCCAATCCGCAAAGGGCCGGTGTGTATGCAGGTTTTTGGGATAACCTGTAGGTCAGCTGTTCAAACCCAGGTGTGAGGACTCTTCAGCCAATCAGTCCTCTAATTAGTAATCTAATTAGGGAGTTGCAGCGAAAACCCGCACACACACCGGCCCTGGTCTAACCTGTCATGAGCATCCTCCCTAGGTCAACCCTTCTGACCCTGGGCCACTGGACCCTAAATGCACATATATGATTCAATGGCCAATGAAATGGTTAGGTCCAGTAACACAACAAGTAGAGCATTGTGCTACCACCACAAAGGTTATGGGTTCAAATCCTGAGGAGCACATAAAGTGTAACCCTTCCTTCCACTTCTAATTTGCTTTGGGTAATAGCTTCAGGTAAATTTGAATTTAGCAGTGTTTCTTAGCCTGGTCCTTGGGGACCCCAGACACTCCTGTCTTTGCTTCTTCCTCCCAACACCGTGGATCGTCCCCAAGGACCAGGCTGAGCAGCACTGATGGAGCTGGCCTGTGGATCTGACTGCCGGTGGTTTCACCTGCAGATTCCACCTTCATCAGCTACCCTCCTGTCTCTGCCTCACACTCTCCATGGGTCACGCCTATGGAGAAGGGCGGCGGGGGCACATCGCCCTGGGAGTACCAGGGTTCTCGACGGGACCCGGAGAGAGAGCGGGAGCGCGAGAGGGACCGAACTCCCACCACCAGCGAGTACAGCAAGTGAGAGCCGCCACTTACTGTAGGCCAATGTTTCTAGACGGTCCACATTTTTGCTTGGGATCTGGGAGGAAGCAGGTTGAGAAACACTGCTGTAGGCCAAAGGTGCTGAGCTTCAGGCCTTCAAGGAACACTGGGATTGTACTCAACGTCAGCTTTTAATTATGTATAGAGAAGTAATTATTAGCAAGGTAAATGACATACCCTAGTGCCACAGGTGCAAATTAGGTGCAAACTGCCTAATTAACTTGCAGGACAAAGGTTAGGCACTTCTCACCATATGTGAAATGTCCTACTTGACAATCTGGAACTGCTTGTCCTATTCAGGGGAATGGGGGTCCAGATCCTATCCCAAAAGCTTCTTCCGCGAGGCAGGGAACAACCCATCACAGGACACATTCACACACCGTTCACATGTGTGGCCAATTTGGCGACTCCAACAAACCTCACTGTGTTTTTGGACTGTGGGGTGAAACCAGAGTACCCAGAGGAAACCCCACGACGACATGAGGAGAACATGCAAACTCCACCCAGACAGAGACATGAACGCTGGTCCCAGAGGTGTGAGGCAACAGTGCTAACAACTGCACCACTGTGCCATACCTTGTGTTAAATCATAGATATTTAATCCAGAATAGAACTGCTGAAATCTTAGCTCTAGAGTAGTTTACAGCAGCAGTAACAGTGATAAAACTTGATTGTGACTTGTGGCTAGGTTTAATTTTTGCACTTGTTAAATTAAGAAGGTGGCGGAATGAATTCTGGGTATAATTTTGAAAGCTTTAAGAAATGGTATTTGGTGTTGACTTCAGCGAGGATGAGCGTTACCACTACTACAGCCACGAGAGGGAATATGAGCGGGAGTTTCACCACGGCCGTGAGCGCAGCCGCGAGCGAGACGAGAGGCACAGGGACCGGCGCCATCGTGACAAGGAGGAGAGCGGCAAACACAAGTCGTCCAAGCGGTGAGTCTGCAGCCCTTCTGTCGGGAAGGACCAATGAGGGCTTTTTGGCGGGGCTCAAGTTAAAGATTTACTACCATCAGGAAGATACTGGCACTAAGGCGGATGAGTCCTCAGCTTTCAGAGGCCCACGTTCAGGCGGTGAGCTCTAAAAGAGCTTGAAGGGACAGCAGGGTGGTCTTGCATCCAAAAAGCAGCTCCGTTAAAGCAGCTGTCCCCTGAAACGGCTAATAAATGTAACGAGGCTCTGGATAAAAACGTCAGTAAGGATGTGCTGTCCCCTCGCAGCAAGCAGCACGACGGCGAGGAGGGTGACGGACATCGCAGGCACAAACACAAAAAGAGCAAGCGCAGCAAGGAGGAGAAGGAGGCACCGGAGGAGGCTGTCAGCCACAGGGAGGAGCCGGAGGGCAAGGAGTAGTGGCTCCACCCTCTTCTCCCCGGGCACTCTGAACATTCCCGCCAGCAGGAGGCCCGTCAAGCTTCCGGAAAGCTCTGCGAGGGGCACTTCTTCCAGACATCCCATTCTTTGTTTTCCGAGCGCCAACTGTGATTCTGCAGTAAGCTATGTCGTTAGTCAGCGTATCACACATTTCCTATTTAAGACGTTTTTAAAAACCTCTAGGCTTTTAACGTTACTTTTATATGAGAGGGAAAAGTTTTTCTTTTTTGTTATTTGTGCTGTTAATATATGTATCTGGTGCTCATTTAGGTAAATGTTAGTGTTGGGATTAGCCATGGAGGCGTAATTATCACCAGCAAGTAAGGCACCGCTGGATGCACTCGCCTGGACACTTTCAGAACATCTCATGTTCACTTCGTGAATGTTAACAGAAGGCAATCTTCAGACAGACTTCCCTGGAAGGAGACGCAAGTGTAAAATCAGAGGACTGCACTCGGCCCAAAACATGCCCTTCAGCGTTATTCGATGTGAAAGTGTTATAGTTTTTCCTCTGCAAAATGGCATGATACCAAATGTCTTTTTTTATATATCTTCTCCTTTTTAATGGCACACGACAAAAATGTGAATGTCATGACTTAAGAATTTAAAAATATATATGTATGAAAATAAAAAAAGACAAGTTTTATTTTATTATTTATTAAATGAAATCAGTTTAAATCACACTGTGGTCACTGCAAAAGCTGGTTCCAACAGCAAAGCTTTATCTAGGCTCAGAATGTTCTATGTACGCGTATAAATAACCAGACATACATTTTATCTACAGAAAGACTGCAGCAGAGTCCTGGAGCATTTTGTCTATGTGAGCGCCGTGGACCGCACCCAGTTTAGGAAACATCTGTTTGGGATCCGTTATAACTGAATGGATGTTTCACGTGCTCCATCTGGATGATAAAAATCATACCCCTGCCCCCCCAGAGTGTCACTGTGAGTGTTGGGGGCTCTCTGCCCTTCCTACCGGGAATGTGGAAGGCGAGCCAGTTTAGCCAGAGGTCCCAGGGCCCGCCCACCGCCTAGAGCACCGCGGGCCTTAGCAGAACTCCTCCCCAGTGTCACAGGAAGGCCTACAAATGCAGGGGGCTAGACGCCGAGACTCATGTTTATGTCTTTTTTTTTTTTTTGGTCCTTAAGGCAGGTAAGAATTGCTTTTCCTCTGTAAGAAACAAGGCACCCAAATGAATCATAAGAAACAAATCAGAACAAACCATCGCACTCTATTCGCTACCAGCAGAGCGCCACTTCAAAGAGAATGGATCGACTGGGTAGTTCACCAGGCACAGTTACATAATTGTATGCATAGGAGGATAAAGCTGTGTGCCTAAGCTGATCTAAATTACAATCAACCAATACAGGCAAGCTGAAGCAGGCTATTTAACTTTGGTATGTTTATACCCCAGCAGAGATGAGAGGCCAGCAGCTCCAGGACTTCAAGACAAAAATAAAAGCCCAGGTTCCTCATAACTTCTGGTTATACTTCATTGTTTGTTCTAACTGGTTGTTGAGAAGAAATCCACTAAAATGGGGGTTTCTGAGGTCGTAGTTGTGGGACTTATCTAGATCATAGAGGCCTTGCACTAATTTGTGAACCCCAACAACATATTATCAAGTACTTTGAGACACAAAAACAAATTACAGAAACAAATTAGTGGGTGGGGTGGGGGGGCAAGGGTGTTAATGTTTTAACAAAGGATTTGAAGCATTTTACAAATGGAAATGCTCAACTGACTTACAAGACAGACAGGAGAATTGTGGATCAATAAATCCCACTTTCTTGTCATTTGGAAGATGTGGCATAGAAGCACTAAACACCGTCACGCCACGAGAGGGAGTTTCACCTTCACTGGATTGTCAAACTTGCCTCCATTTTCTGCAGGCACATCGTATTAAAGAATTGGCTGTTGGGTTAGCGGTAATACTGTTCTCTTTCACCATTATGACATAGCTGTCTTAGAACAAGCATCATCATCTCGTGTGTGAGGAGAAGAACCTACAGCTACCTACTCAAGGTAGAGGGATGTGGCAAAACAACTACCCTGAGGTCAGCTCGTTTCCAGGGTGAAAGGACATCGACCCACAAGGAGACCCTTGGTGCTCAGGGTTTTGCACTAGAATAATTTAAATAAACCCAATTCTACAGCACCATCCACAGGTACTGTTCCAAGTATATCATATACAGTACAGGTCATATTCACCTTATATCATCTACTGAATTGTACAACACAGTATTAGTGATGAAAACGAACTTTGAACCCTAAATGGTCGTGGTTATTGCGCAATGTCAATCATTGGCTGTGTTAACACCAACGCACAGTGGATAAATGTGGCACTATTGCAGACTATTAACTGGCCAGTGGAGCAGGCCAATACCTCTGCTGCGAGTGCATAACAGATGGAATGGGGAGACTGACTATGGGATGCTGATACTAAGTGCAGCTACACCAGGCTGCCAGGCCACGACACCACGGTCAGCGTGACCTTGTTCCTCTGCAGCTTCAGCAGAGGGATGAGCGAGGAGTTGTTCATGCCCACTGTCGTCGCGCCGTTCACAGCCACAATCTCATCACCGCACCTGCAGGAAAACACCAGCTTGTGGGCGACAGCTTCCCAACCTCGAGTCTCATGACACTGTCACTCTCACGCATTTTTACACCACTCAGCTCTGCAGACAGCAGAGTAATACCTTCTCTCTTCAGTGCATGTTAACCCTTTGTAATACACCTTCAATTTTAAATAACCTCTACTGGGTGTTTGACATTTGATTATTCATATAATACACATTTGTCAAAGCAGCTTGTTTCCTAAAAATAAAAATATACAAAATCCTTCACGCTTGTCCATTACTTTATTCCTTGATTCTGCTGATGTAATAAAGAATGGGTGTCACCCATCACGTGCCTGATTCACCAAAACCAAGCAGAGAATCATACAGTACAAGTGGGAAATAAGAACATAAGATGTTTACAAATGAGAGAAGGTCATTCGGCCCCATCAAGCCCTAATAGCTTCACGTTTATTTTGGGGCAAAGCCAACATCATGTCTCCGACGTGCTGGCAACTCACTTGAGACGCCCGTCGAAATGTGCTGGTGTTCCAGGCACGATGGTCTTGATGAAGAAGGGCTGCTGCCCATGATTCTCCTCATAGCCTCCCACTATGCTGAAGCCCCAGCTCTCGCTGTTGGTCTTCTGCAGGACAATGTCTCTGCACCAGTGCAATGGGCTGGAGATAGAAAGTGGGGGAAACAAACTTTTTATTTATCTATTTAGTTATTACCAAAAAAAATCCTTTCAATCCATCTATCCATTACTTTTTAATAACTACTTCTTCATTTAGAATCATGAGGCAAGAAAGATGCAATTAAAATAGAGGTTTCAAACATCTCCATCCACACAAATGTTTTCATATTGTTTATAAAGAAATTTCCAGACACACAAACAAGCAGAAACATGTATGATGTGGCTATTAGCTTACACACTGTGATTGGTAAATTAGATTCTTTTTGCGCAAATATGCAGCAAACACTCTATGTAGCTACATACAGGTCAGCAACAAGGAAAGGGCCATTTAAAGTAACATCTCCATATCCGCCATGTTGGAATACTGTTTACTTCTGTGTAGGGTGACCCGGTCCCCCGTCAGGCAATGAGAGGGTGTAACTAGTGGGATCGAATCAGGGATGGGTCACGTGATGAGTAGGAAGCAGTTTGGGCACTTTTAGAGTCTGCGTTTTCATACTCATCCACACTTCGACTCTACAGCGGAGTCTCTGAAAAGACACTGATTTTGGGGGCTGAGTGTGGACCAAAGGTGAAAATTGAGACTTACGTCTGTGTTTTAATATGAAAACGTAGCAGTGTGGACATACTCTTACAGACACTCGATATGAGGCACACATTAGCATAAATTTGGAGTCACAAATTCACCTGAACAGCTCGTCTCTGGTCTAGACCTCTGTGTTAGTGGTCCACAAAGAGCAAGTTGAGGGAGGCGTAAAAGACAATTTCCCCACGGGGATTAATAAAGTATCAATTATTATTATTATTATTATTATTATTATTATTATTATCAGTCTTCTTCAGAGGTCTAGACCAGAGACGAGCCGTTCAGGTGAATTTGAGACTCCAAATTTAGGCTAATGTGTCTCTTTGATGACTGCCAAGAGGAGCTGTGTACAGCACGCACTGTGACAGGCGGCCCATCCAATGCGCCGCTAGTGACCTCTGACAGCGTCCGTCTCACCTCGGCAGGCCCAGCCAGCGCGTCCACAGCGGGGCCCAGTTCAGGTCGTCCTCCCGTGGATTCTCCAAAGGCTCCAGCTCTTCCCAGTTCACGCCGTCGCTGTCCTCCTCCGTCAGGGTGCCGGAGACGGTCTCCACCACGCGCAGCACCACGTTGGGCTGCGAGGCCTGTGCTTTCAGCACCCGCACGGCCTCCGTGTAGGTCAGCTGGGTGAGATCCACGCCGTTGATGCTTAGCAGCACGTCACCTGGGGCATCAGGGAGGGCAAGGAACCTCAGCACCACGTTCTCCTAGGCACTGGGTGCCAACAGAAGGCCTACAGTCACACTGGCAGAGGGCGACTGCAAGCCCTGGGGACATTACCGGCTTTGATGGTCCCATCGCGGTGCAGGCAGCCCACCGGCTGGACGCTGGTTATGTAAATGGGCACATGGCTCCGGCTGTCCCTCCCCCCAGCGATGGTGATGCCCAGGGAATGGCGAGGCTCCTTCTTAATGCTCACAGTCTTCTCCTGGCTGGAAAAGCCATCAGGAGGGTCCTGGGCAAGGGCCACACAGACACACAAAGGGAAAGAGAAATGTCAGCTGACAGTGAGGTACTTCAAAGACGCAGGGCAGAGAGAAAGTACAGGACACAGCACATTAGCTCAGAGCATGTGTTGAAATCCACAGGTCTTCCCCTCTGCGGAGCCTGCAGGGCCTTCAGAAGCTCCCTTTCCTGCCCAGCAGGGATCCTCTCCTCCCAGCTAGAGAGAGAGGCTGCGAGCCTCCTTAGTGACAGCTAACCAACCTCCTCCTTTGATCCTCCAGCCCGCAAACAAAGAGGCACCACGTGCTCTTTTGATCAGAAGCGTGCAAGTGACACGTCTCTCACTGCCACCCGCTGGGTGGGTGCCCCACCCCCCACGCCTGCAGGTCGGGGCAGAGGGGTGCCGGGACTCTGTGGGGCGACTCCTACCTCACGTCCCCAACAGAAAACATAAGCAGAACCACAACAGGCTACCGCACAATCACCGGTGAGCTGTGAGACACCTTAACGTAGGTACAGGCTGCCGCATGGTCATCAGGGAGCCGTGACACACCTTAACGCAGGAACAGACTACCGCACGATCACCAGTGAACCGTGACACACCTTAACGCAGGTATAGGCTGCCGCACGGTCACCAGTGAGGCGTGACACACCTTAACAAAGAGGCACGCTATCGCAAGGTCTCTAGTGAGCTGACACTCACCTTAACACAGGGACAGGCTACCACACGGTCTCCGGCGAGCCTCAATTGACCTTAACCCAGGGGCAAGCTCCTGCACGGTCACTGGTAAGCTGCAACTCACCTTAACGCAGGGGCAGGCTACAGCAGGGACTCACCTTGACATAAGTGGAGCGCCGCCTGAAGTAGTGCAGGTCTGAGTTGCGGCGTGTGCCCCTGAGCAGCCCCTCCCCGGTGACGACGGCCTCCCCCTGGGGCTCAGCGTGCCTCAGCACCACGAAGTTCACCCGCATCTCGCTGGCCTGGGCATGGGGACAGCCACATTCTCCTGTCACACACACAGCCTGCCCAGTTTCAGCAGACAGCAAACGCTTTTCTGACTTCCTCTTTATACATCATTCAGACATTCAAAATGCTGCAATTCAACCACCGATGATCATTGACGACTTATTCCTAATAACATCCTCAATATGTAAGAATCTCCACAGCTTAATTAAAACAGTTTCATCAAACCATTTAATTAAAATCACATGAAAAGCTGTGTGAAGGTCACATATGTTACGCAGAAGAAATCTTGCGTTGGTCATGCATAGATTTCCGTTTGAGTTACGATAAAAGCATGGAGCTGTAAACAAGTGGAACAATGAAAATCAATGGCTTCCCTGCAGCATCAATGGTCTGGGCTTGTGTCCTGTCCAGGATAAATTATTAGTTCAATTAATATGGATAAACAGGCACTCTTGCTATTGAGCAACAGCGTAACGGCTGAGACACTTAACCCAAGCATTACTTCACTGCCTGAATTAACTGTATAACTCAAATTTTTAGATTTACGCTACAATCATTGAGTTGAGTCGGGCTCTGGCTTACAACTTTATAATATTTCATGATCAAAGCTGTATATTATGTGGATTTACTTATGCTTTTACTTTACCTGCCTTACTTTTAAGTGTTAGTAACCATGTTAATAAATGTATGCAACAAAGTCACACCATGGCACTCTGGGAGACGACACACCTGTGTACAGAAGGGCCGACAAGAGAGACCCCCTTGAATCTTTTGAATCTTTAACTTTCTTGCAGCAAACACACCCGACATTTAAAAAAGCAGGTGCCTGTCAGCACAGCACTATGGCTCCTGCTAAATGCTAATGGCTATCAGAAGCGGACGCGAGGGAGGAGCTGTAGACCAACCTGGATGATCTGCGCCGCGCTCTCAGGAGTGCCATGTCGCAGGTCCTGCCCGTTGATGGCCAGCACCTTGTCGCTGTTGCGTAGCTTGCCATCCTTTGCTGCCAAGCCACCCGGCAGCAGGTCCAGGATGAAGACGCCCGGCTCCTCGGACTTGCGGATGAGCTTGATGCCCAGCGGCTCCGAGCGGTCCCTCTTCATCAGGGTCACTTGGATCACCGTGCCGAAGGGGGCAGGGCCCGGGCCGGCCGGCGCAGAGGCGGTAGGAGCAGAGCCCGGGTGGTGCTCGGGGCGCGGGTTGCGGGTGGAGAAGCCCTTCTCCTGCATGACGGTGAAGCGCACCACAGGGCAAGAGCGCCGCAGCACAGCGACGGCACGCGCGTGTGAAATGCTCGCCACGCTGACGTCATTCACCTAGGAGACAGAGCCGTCTTTTTACAGGATGGACAGGATAAGACCAGGGCTGCACGATATCACGTCGTGATTATGCTCAATAATCACCAGGGCTTCAGATGATGGCCGTAAGCATTTGTCCGGACGCCTGGCTGTTGACTATATGGACGTTACCCACAATTTGGTAAGCAGATTAGTAGTGTGCCTAAAATATTAATGAGAGGTGTTTTGTAACGCCTAAAAGTCAGTAATTTGTATAAATTTAGCAAAACTGTATGTTTAACAAACATACTGAACTTTAAACTGCTACCACACCACTTTCTTACCTCGTTTAAGCACAATATCTCCTCTTTTAAAAGACGTTGTGGCTGCTGATCTGTCCCTTTCTTCACCACCACTTCAGTGCTTATCACTTCTATGATTTACCAAAACAGTAGCATGTGACATGCAGCGCTAACCAAATTTAATAAACATAAGGATAAACTGGATTTATACAGATTAACTTTTGGGCATCACAATACTCATCTCTCATTAATATTTTAGGCATACTACTAATCTGCATACCAATTTGTGGGTGTAAATAAACATCCGTATAGTACTGAAAAGCTGGCGTCCGGACAAATGTTTGCACCCGTCATCTAAAGCCCTGGTTATTATTGCGCATGCGGCACATAATCACGATTATATTGCAATGTAATATACTGCAGACCATTTCAAGCTATCAAAACATTCAATACAAATTCAAGGTGCTGACAAAGCTCATGTCTGACAGCATGTGTAATTAGAGTCTACTTTGCAATAGGAAGGGGAGGAGGCCTTTCAATAAGCAGCTGATGTTTATCTCAACATACCTTTTGGCATGAGACACCAGCCTATGTTAAAAAAATAATAATAATAGTGTTCATCTAGCGACCAATGGGCTGAGAGGATCATAGTCACACTTCTAATTCTAATTGGTCAGCAGAGAACAAAAGGCAGTCCCAAGCATTCCAGAGACTAATGTGAACCCATTCTGTCAGCTCTGTTTACCAGCGCGCTACATTCCTGCTCCGCCTGAAGGAGCAAAGTGAGAGGAGTGGGAGTCAGGGGAGGGTGGGAGTCAGGGGAGGGTGGAATGGGATGCAGCCCACGGCGGGACGACTGCTTATCACAATGAAAGGTGATTAATGCAAATGTAAATATCAATGCAAATGCACGTAATGACCATCGTCAATCTTTATTTTTTATCACCCACAAAAACGACTGCAATGCCAAAATAATCTTTCAATCAGGTTGAACTTATCAGGACTGTCAGAACTGTATAACTGGCCATGCTTCAGCACCAGGAGATTGACCTACACAAAGTGTGCTGGAAATCTTCACTGACATTACAAACTACAGGCAAAAGGATGCACATGAGGACACATAAATAAGGCCTAAATGCTGGAGGTGTTGTGTGTACAAAAGTGGTGTTGCCGATAGTTTAGGAGACGAGAGCTGCTGAGTATGGCCTTCACTGTCTCATGCAGGCTATGCAAGCAGTGTTCTGCTTGGCTGGGTTCTGGTGTCGTGTGTGTGTGGGACTGTGCGGGGTCAGGAAATCCGGACCGTTTTATTTTGGGTTGCTCCGTCTAAAAGGGACAGCATCTCCTAATTACTGGCTGTAATGAGGTTCCATTTCATGGTGTTTACGTTCAAACTCACCGTGGCCAGGGTTTCAAAAACGACAAATCATGTCAGGATTCAAACACCTACCAAATCTTTCTTTGCTTCCTGCAGGTGTAATATTTACCAAACCAAACAGTACATTAACTTAGGAGACACTATCGTCCAAAGTGATGAACAAGCGAACATCAGACAGTACAGTCCGCCAGTGTCCCTGGAACAAACAGGGTAAAGAGCCTTGCTCAAGGGCCTACTGGTAACACCAATGTGAGCCACGGAACTTGAGCCAACAACCCTCTGATCACAGACCAGAGTTACACATTACAGAGTGTACAACCTGCAAGCCACAGCCTGCATACTACCTATCAAAGATGAAACGAGGCAAAGTGATCTACATGGGAGATTAATGATGAAGCTCATGGGAGTTTACCTACACAAAAATGTTCGGAGGGCATAATGAAAAATGATTGGATGTAACCAGTCAGATTGTAGAGGAGGTGGGTCCAAGCAACAAAAGGAGGCAGGACCAATCAGTCTTGGCCCCAGCTGCTCTATAATCTGATTGGTTCTGAGAGACAACCAATCATTTTTCATTCTGCCCTCAGAACATTTTTGTGTAAGTAAAACTCCACAAGCAATGAGGAACCGTCACTGATGAATCTGATGAACCAACGAAGGCACTTTACAAAAACCAAGCAATCAAGCACCCCCCTGCGAGGCTCTCTCACCTCCAGAATGTGGTCCCCGGGGGCCAGCTTTCCATCACGAGCTGCCAGGGATTCCCGCACGATGTCCTGGATGACAATGTTCCCCAGCGGCGTGTCCTTCCCGCCAACGACATGGATCCCCAGCTCCTCCTCTGGCTCAGTGCGAAAAATCTCCACCACGTTCGTCTCAGCCACCAGGCTGCATCTCATAGGGGCATCTGGGAAGGTGACAGGGAACTCTGGGAACTCTGTGTTCATACACACCAATGTACACAAAACAAAGGAGCTGTCATCATACAGCCACACCGTCCCTGACGTCTTACCACAGACCCAAGGCTGTGGGAGTCACTGATTTGGAATGAACAAGAGGGAGGTCTTGTAAGTAAAGTTACAGGGCAAGCTGTACTTGACGGCGAAAACACAAGCGTGTCATCTCATTGGAAAATACTTAAGTTCAGTTTGGTAGAGCAAACAGAAAACCGGAGATGGCTTGTCCTGCCCTCCACCTCCTTTTATGTGAGCTATGTGTCACTGTGTTCCACTCCCTCCACCCAGAGCAATCAATCCATCACCTCACTTTTATGCTTGTGGTAGCCTCTTTTGCTTAAAGAACAAAAATAAGTTGCCACATTGTGTGTTAGTGGTCAAGCTAGCCCAGCTTATTTGAAAGGATCTTCCATCATTGTCAAACATGTCTGAACTACAGCAGCAGTCACTAAGTGAGATGCCATTATATCTGACACCTGCATGTCATATATGTGGGTTTTTTTTTAATCACACAGCAAAATGCAGTTTTGCAGTAAATAAATTACACAAAGACTAACATCCATCTATCTTCCAATTGTTTATATGGCCATAAAGTGGCAGAGAGATGAATGGTCTAATATGATACAGAATGTAATTATTAAGTTGGGTACACCCCAAGCTGACGGCAATAATCTAGTACCAATGAAGGCCAACAATCGGCTCCCTTCCTCTCCGGTCGATTGTGAAAATTTGCACAGGAACACACCGGCACAACTAGCGGTGAAAGCTCAATTTCGTCAGTTAGCTACAAGGCCGATTCAACATGCTCAACTGCACTAAACAGCTCCTAAGTGGATCACAGCTCCAAGTGTGCCACACACACTGGTGCGACAGGCAGTCACCGACTCGCATCAACAGCCCATTATCGGCTTGGTGTGTTCCAGGCTTCAGGCCCCTTTGCTGGCTGCAGAGGAAGGCTGTCCTACCATCCTCACTCTCCTCAAAAGCTGGGTTCACCAAGCCCGGCTCCCCAGGGCTCCGGGAGCTTCCCGAGCGAGAGGCCGCAGTGCCTCCCGATGGCTCCACCTCAGTCTTGCTCCCTTTCAGGTCATTCCATGGGGGTCTTTTCTTCTTCTCAGACTCTTCCCGCAGCTTCCTGAAGCCAGGACATCTAGGAAATGTACAGCAGAGCTGAAGACTCAGAGACGACCAACTGATACATACATATAGCTGTCCAATGAAAACCACATGTCCAATTTTTCACTATAACAAGATGGATCACAGATGGACTATGCTCATTCTCCTGTATACTGACAGAGTGTGACATCGAATTGACCAAGGAAAAGATGTTTTATGAAATCTAACTAGTATTTATGTTTGCACTAGTTAACCTTTGTATTCATGATGGTCATTTGTATGGATTACTTTATAATTGCTAATTTTAACAACTTATAGTCAGATAGCTAACACGCATTAATTGTGAACATAAAGATTAGTTTATATATTGTTGACACTGACATATTTGCCTCGTTTTCAACAGTTCATGCAAGGTGCTCACAGAAAGTCTTGGCACACTTGCTTAATTCCGTAAAAATGTTGCAATTTTTTTTGGTTTCATAACAAAAGTCCATTAACAAGTAGGGATGGGCGATATGACCTAAAATTATCATCACAGTATTTTTTACTTTTTGGACGGTGATGGTATTATATCAGTTTTGGAAGGAGCAGTATGTCCTGTCCCTTTTTATATAAATTGAAAGCAATATTTTATAATAAGTACATTTTAATTGCTATTACACTTGGGTATGGGCAGCTTTATTTAGAAAATAAAAAGTGACAAAGGTGATGTTATACATCACATATGAGAAAACAACAAAAAGGGAATGACAAGCCGTTTCAGCCGAAAACAGTGCAGTGCATTTTACTTTTCATTTCAAATAAAACGCAGGGTTGCCAGCTTTGGTCAGCTTGCTGGAGTGAGTTTTTCAATTTGAGACAAGTCTGCATACGCATTTACATGTATGTTCCAGTTTTATTACCTTGTAAATAGTTTTTATGGTTGACAAACTACCCCAATGCTTTTGATGTAGCTACTTTTAGGTTTATAATGGAATAATACTGATCTGTCGTAAGATTTCTTGCGTGAGCGTGAGAGTCTAAAAGTGCAAGTGTTACGTCAGATGCTTGAGAGTTGGCAACCCTGAAAATGCACGTTTTAATTATTTCACCTGAGCTGATTTGCATATAAAATAACTTTATACAGTTGTGAAATAACGTAAACTTTGAAGAACATTAAGTCACCAGTAAACTAATGTCTATTTATCCAACATTTTATTAAATACTGCGTATGAAAACTTTTAAGTTTTACAATTTCAGGACAGAGCAGTCACTCCGTTATGAACATTTCGGCTTTTTGGTTGTTGATATTAGATTCGCTACTGTCATTAACACTAATGGCATGTTAACTGAAAAAAAGGGCTGCATACACCAAAGTACATCTTGCTTGGAGGTTAAAGGAGTTTGATGTTCATTGGAATGGAAAACAGACGGTTCTAGTGTTAACTGGGTAGTTGTGCCTTTTACCGCGCACCTTGCATGAAGGCTAATTTGTTGCTATATATATGTAACCACGTTATTTTGTTTGATGTGTATAATTACACAAAATCCGTTTATTTTGAATTATCGCTATTGCAACACCCCATCAGAGTGTGTAATAGAAAAATCACATATATAACTGGTTTATCAGCATTGTAAGTACAAGTATTCAAATTACAACTTAAGCTTTGAAGAAAATAAAATGCTTTACTTTTTATAAATAGGTTGTTGTATAATTAGACTGTAGACTTCTTGTGGTGTTACCGGTATAGTACAAATCCATATCGTGGCGCACAATCATACCAGTAATGACTATGACACCAGTGTACCGGCCACCCCAATTAACAAGCAATGTTTAACATCTCTCCACACATCTTCCATACAGATTTTTATTTTCAAGTGTCATTTTTTGACTGACTCATTCAGTTTTGTTCTTACCATTTTGCTGTTAATTAAAATTGTAGTCACTGGCTCCCAAAGTCATACTAAGCAAAAATGTTAGGTGTTTCATATTATTGTAAGGTGTTACTAATCAAAAAGCACCCAATGAGTCTGCTCATCAATTAACTTTAACTCAGAGCAGCTCTTTTAGAACTATAATTTGGGTGTCAATTTATTACTACTAAAAATGAATATTTTACTTAAAACTATAAATCTAATCTAATGATATTTTTATTTTTACAAAGGAATGAATGATTTTTGTTATAAAACCAATAAATTTGCAATATTTTTACTGAATTAAGCAAGTATCCCATCTAAGACATGAAAACGTTCACTGACAACTGTGTAAAGACAGGTTTCCTTTTGTGTCTCAATATGTTGTTTTAGGGTTATTCTTCAAAGCAGTTTCTGAGAAAATGCGTTCCTTCATGTTCCAGGAATAATGCCAATTTGGAGACACACTTTACATTGGACAGCGATGATACACATACATTCATTTAGCAAGCACTTTTATCCACAACAAATTGAGAAAGCAGGGTCTGCCAGTCCTGAGAACAGTTGGAGTTAAGGGCCTTGTTCAAGGGCCCAATGGTGACATAACGCCCACCACAGGATTTGAACCGGCGATTTTCCAATCACAGGCATAGTGTCTTAACGAACTGAGCCACATGCCGTCCACAATGACTTATACGGGTGGGGATACACAGGGAAAAAAACCACATGGTAATTCAGGGGATGGGAAAAGCACTCTCACTCATCACTGCCCAGTATGCAGTGGGGCAACCATGTGGACAGTGCAAGGAGGGGGGGGGGGGCACTCAGGCGTGCTGAACTGCATTACAGGCTGGCAGGGAGGGGACTGACCATCACAAAGCAGGGCAGGACCTAACAGACGCAGCCACCTTACTTCACACCCTGCCTGTTTCCACACTAGGGCCCCCAGTATCGCCTCATGGGGAGTAAACACTACATTGCTTACATTCTTGTGATAAGAGAAAAACACACAGAACAACTGAAGAAGTCATCTGTTAAAACCATTTCAAACACCAATAGCAAAGAAAAATCCATGTCTAAATCAAAGCTGCAACTCTCATAAAGTTTCTAGAACGCTTACAAACTGAAGTAAAATGTCAAAATGTGACATGGCACAATAAATGTCTTTCAGTATCTCAAACACTGTGAATAAAACAACCAAAAACTCATTAAGTCTATATCATATAGAAACACTTCTGAGATGGATTAAAAAATAAGCATTTCCTATTTTTTTTTCTCTATAGAATTTAATTCTTGCATAAATTACACAAGTATTCATATCACAGTTAGCAATGCTGTACAACACGTATTGTGCTTAGTGTACATTGTGTACCTGAGGTTGGCCTTTGACTTAATGTGCTTAGGAGCACAAAAAAAATGCAAATATGTCATACAGAAAAAAAACAGATACATGTGACTTTTGTTGCTTGGATTTCTGATACACTTGTCACTATGACCACTGCTGTGTTTATATTCTGTGGGACACTTTAAGGCAGCAATTCAGAAAACAATGTCTGGATTACTATCTTTTTTACCTACTACTATCGGTAAAAGCCTGTACAGGCAAGAAAAAAAATAACTTGCAGCCACAAGTTTCTTATCATTCTTTATGGTATTATAACCAGATAATCTCTCAGAATGCTCCAAACTGGCACTCCTCCTCTACTTCTAAACTTATTAAAAACTCTCACGGAAAGATTTGGGATTTTAGGAAACCAGTAAATGAGAAGCAGCAATAGGAACAATTTCAGCTGATGAAAGAATGTCATATGAATAAGACATGCATGCATGCGGAATGCCTCGTGCAATGCTGCACAAACTGGTTCACTGGAAAGAATCATAAGTACTGCGTTGTTCCACACAAGTTATGTTAGACGTCCATGTATTTACTGTTCCAATATGAGTTATACAACAGGCTACTCTGGTTTCTTGGGTGATAACGCATTCCTTACTAGCAATACATGCTGATTTTGCCTTTATATTACTGGCCTGCCAGCCCTCACTAAAACAAGCACAAAGAAGCCAAATTGAAGATGGCTAATGTGCATTCTGAGACATGGACATAGAGGCTGTTCCAAAAAGCTACGGACGGACTCCCTGGATGGGCTGACGACCCATTACAGGACACACACAATAGGCAATTGAGAAACACCAGTTCAGCCAAATTACACATCTTCTAGTAAACTGTACACAAAGAGCCATGATAGGAATCAGGAACCAAGACAGGAACTTAAAACCCTGGAGGTGCAAGGCCACAGTGTAACCCATTGAGCCACCATTGTGTTATGATTCTTTATTCTTAAATACAATGAATTTCTAGCAGACTTCTCTCTCTTTTTGTAAAAATGAACGTTAGCTTAAGTACAGCCAAGGGCAACAGGCAGAGTTGGCATAATACCGTCCTGCCGTTGCTGGCTGACTGTAGGGCAAATTTAAAATCATACAAACATTCTAGGGCAACTGCAGTGATGAGACAGGCCTGATTTTATTGCTGCACATTCGAGGTCAGAGGGCGTTTGTGAGAAAGGCTGCACAGGCTCGCCCCTCATTCCCTGGGAAGCCCCACAGGAGCAGCAGGGAGAGTGATGTTGGCCTGACAGGACGCTGTGCCCCTACAGCATAGTAATACCAAACAGAAGATGCAGATGTATCACATTCTTCAGGCATGAAATCATTCACTCAAAATTCAGATAAAGCAGAAAGCAAATTTTTCATTTTTTTAAAACCAGGGTTGTTCAAATTCAACATTCATTTGGCTTTTTTTTTCCCCACCGTGGCCTCCTTATCTGGATGGAATGATCGGGAAACTATCAATTTTGCAAATAGTCTTGTAGATAAACGCAAGAGTGAATTACCTTTAGCACAAGTTTAGCAAATTCTAGATAACTCCTCAAAAAGCTTCTAACACAAATTTCCAGAAAAGTATCTGAAGATTATATACTATGCACTATAGTTTTTCAAAGAAACTCATATGATGATGCCGACCTGAGGCAACCCGGGGCAAACCTCACTGGATCTGAAAAGCTTCACAATGTTTCCGTTTGCTGAGGGGGAAGAACTGTCTGTAGTTCAGAAGCCATTCATATTTTTAACACAACAGGGTGCAATCTGGCACTCCATTCCTGTTACATATATGAGGAGGAGGAGCAGCCAAAGATGTGCTTTGGTTACACATTGCTTGAAGGCTCAACAGCAGGATCCAGTACAGTAGCCTTGATGGATACTGATCCCTTTGGTTCCCATAGAAGCAGACAACAGAGAACGTAAAGTGTCACTCAAGAAGAGGCTGTTGACGTTTTGTAATGAAGTACAGCAATGACAGCATACATCTGTCGCTGTTTTTGCAGTTTCTTTTGAGAAAGACCTTAAGCAAACAAATTACACAGTAGGCTACAGTAGTGGCGTGTAGCTAAACAGCCAAGAGACTTTAAAACGATTCACAAAAAAACTCCAACTTGTTATTACATGTACTTAATGTCGAAAGGCCAAAGGCAAAATACTCTACTAAGAGCTTACATTTATAGTTGCAGCCCTTCTAACAAGATTATCTGTGTGTATCAAGTTGTTCAACCATATAATTTATTTTTTACTTTGTTTAATACAGAGGTGTGTGACATCTACTCAGGATTTATTAGTGTCATCAGGTGAAGATAATTAACACTGGTCTGACCTGACAGCACAGGACAAAGAGGGAAATTACAAGATGGAAGAGGGAACATGCGCTATGATTATATGAAGCTCCTACTTGGTTAAGTTTATTCCTTCATTTGCTTGTTTTTACTTTATTCATTTATGTACAGGAAGAGTGGGCTGTGAACAAAGGTCATTGTTTGTGTAGCTCTGTCCAATTAGCTTTTATCGAGGTTTGTCCAATGTTTAACATGCAGAACTGCAATGGCGCCAGTCACAAGTCGTGTGATACGAGTCTTCAAAGCAGGCCTGGTAGATAAGTAGCAGGTGAAGCACGACGTTACTGCTCAGGCAAATACGACGCTGGGCAGAAACAGCTTCGAAAGCAGACAGTTACAATGTAATCAATGAAAACAGCGCATTTCAAAGACAGCCACCACTCTGCATTTCGGTCTTAAAGCTACTTCTCTTTACTGGAAATAGAACTTTCTATACCAAGAGCAGAAGTGGACAAAAATAATTCCATATTAAAAAAAAGAAATGCATGTTTATTCAGCATGTAACACATAAAATACATTTCAGCATATTCAGGTAAGCACTGTTGAGCAGAGTGTGGTTCTGCAGGTTAGAACTCTTGTACCCATGATCAAAAGGTCACCAGTTCAAATCCCATGACTGCAGAGTGATCATCTCACCGCTGGGTCCTTAACCCCAACTGCTCCAGGGGCGCAGCACAATTGGCTGACCCGGTACCCTGACCTCAAGCTCCACTCTCACCTGTACATGTCTGTCTCTCACTGGAGAGCAAGTTGGGATATGCAAAGATGGAAATGTTGTGTACTTGCCCCCAGTACAATGACAAAGACATTCTATTCCAAGATACTACATGCTAGAGAGCACTACAAAGTCATTTTCCTCCAGTAATTTTTCATATGAAAGAACAACTAGAGTAAACGTTGGGGCAAGAAATTCAGTATGCAGACAGACAAATACAACAGTTAGACAATGAGTATGCCATTGAAACTTCATTTAAGCTCATTCTTAAAAGGTAGCAGTTTTCTATATCTTTCAAATACTGGACATAAGCAAGTCTTAAACATCAAAATCTTCATTAGCAGCATAATGTGCAAAATATTTCGAATGCGTTTTATCAAATGAATGCAAACATAAGGCAATTTATTTTTCTCCGCCATAAGCAAATAGGACTCCACCTAAAAACCAATTTAGCAGATCAGGCAGCCATTTGCAGAAAGCACAATTTTACTTTGCTTCATTAGCTGAAAAACTATTTAATAAAGTTACATCCCCTCTTTGCCACTGGTTATTACACAAGTACTTCCAACTTTGCTGGAAAAGATTCACCTGCAGTACAAGCGTCATGGTTTCAACAAGGTCCAAGCAACATTTTAGTATCTTTCCTTTTAACAGTGCATAGCAGGCAGGTCTAGCCAATATCTGAATATCACTTATACTTCATGAGGATCCTGCAATTAGGATCCTAGCGGACACCCTTAACCAGAGAGTTACATAAGTGCTTTGAAGTCACCATCAGTAAACTTTTTAGCAGGTGAACATCTCATTATTAGAAACAAAAATATGAGTGCCTGTTATCGGTTTTACTGCTTAAAACACTGCTTTAAGCTTTAGAGATCAGTGGTTCCCTGTACTTGCGAAAAGTGTTTCCACTTTAACACCCTATCGCTTACCGGCCATTTTTCAGGATCAGATGTCGTGGTTTTTCTAAAACAATGAGGCACCAACAACAATTTTAAGCCCTCAATTTAAAGCTACTTACAGAAGAATCAGGTGGCATGGTGGCAAATCTTACTGTGCATGACCTGACTATGTACGACAGGAAATGTGCAATGCAACTTCCTTAAATAAAAAGTTAATAATTGGTAATACAATTTAGCACTAACTAAATCCATCCACCCATACTTCACTTTTTCACTTTTCCTGGCCAGATTCGAAGTGAAGCATAGAACATTTGCCAGGTAACACAGGACAGGGGTACACCCTGAATTTGGACTCCAGTCCACCACAGGAAACACACATCAACCCACCTGACACACTCAAACCTGCACTGAGTGAGGGTCAGACCCCCAGAGCTGCAGGTTTAAAGCCACAGTGCTGCCTGCTGAGTTTCAGGTCTCCCAGATTAAGATAATCAGAATTTTGAAATATTTTCAGTCCACTCAGCAACACTGGATAATGTAAACAAAAACAGAACAGAATGATGCTTGAGGAGCTATTTTTTCAGTAGACGATCAATACAGGCCTAATGGTTAGTATATTTATATCATGTGACATAACACTGTTAAAGGACTCATCAGTATACAATTCAAAAGAAATCTAAGTGATCCTGGATATGGATAAAGTGATATCAAATTAAATTTTTATTGCTTGACTAAACTAAGATAAAACTAAATCAGATAAAAGGTCAGCACTTTGGACAAATACATAGAAGTTTATAAATTGACAAGACAAAATAAAGAGCCTGCTATTTTACAGTTGCTCCTACGTTCCCCCTTCCCGGAAAATGCAATCCATCCACAATGCCTAAAGCACCATCGAAAGGAAGGAAGTCTAAGAGAGTAACAATTAAAACACATTTAACAGCTGCATTTCCCCACACGCCCATGCATCCTCTGGCACCTCGCTACTTTAATACAGCACATTAAATTAATCTGAAGCAGCAGATTTATTTTGACCTGTGTCAGAACAGTGATAAATCTGTAGTAAAATGGTTTTTACTGATACCTACAGGTGTACACACGTATGCGCGCGTGCGCACACACACACACACACAGACACACACACACAATTTGTATTCATATCTTTGTGGTGACCATTTATATGGTGAAAAACCCTACTCCCAGCAATAACAACCTTAACCCCTACCCAGCCCTCACCTTAACCACAAGTAACCAAACAAATTACAAGACTTTAGGCATTTTTTTGTTTTTTGATTGCAGTCACAGACTACAAACCTCACTTTCATAAATAATAATGTAGGAACTTGAGAAATGCCCCCACAAGTTAAAAACAGATTTTACCATATTGTGGGGACCAAATGGTAAATACAGACCCACCGCACGCACAGTGAAAGTAAGTTTAAATACATAATATTGGTATCCTTTGTAAAACAAAGTGCTTCGCTCACTTGGGAAAAGCACTGAATGTGACCTACAGGCAGTCCCTAGGATAAGAACATACAACTTACGGACAACTCGTACTCACTAACGGACTGCCATAAAGCCTATCATATTAAAAATTCAGGTTAAATACGATGGTTCGTAATAATCAATGCATGCACTACCGTGTGATGTTCAGGAGAACATCGCGCGGCCTCTGAGGTTTGTCCGCTCAAGGTATAGTACGGTACCCTATGAAGCTACTTTTATTACTGTATTGTTATCATGCTGTCTTATGTTTTAGTGTATTTAGAAGTGTTTGATAAATGTTTTATATACAGAGAAATGCAATAGATATACTACATAAGAACTGCATGCATCTTTTCGAACTTGCATTCAAATTTAACTTTAAGACAGACTTGAGAAATGGATCGCGTTTGTACCCTGGGGACTGCCAGTACTGAACGCGGCCTCCTATCTGCTCAGGAGCTAGGAGGGAACAGAAGACTACCTGTGGGTCCCTGAGGACTGAGCTGAGAAACAGTCAGTCAAACACCTGCCTGATGACCTGACCTTTGGTGCCACCCATTCCATCCTTGACATGTGCGTGACATCACGCAGCACTTCCCCCCGCTGGACTACCCAATCACATTCCCCAACCACGCCCCCCTCACCTGTTGAGCAGATGTGGCTGCAGCTCACAGCGCTGCATCTGCTGCCCGCATGGCTGGAAGGGACACAGCACGCCCAGCTTGTCCAGCAGGTTGCGCACCAGCAGGCTGGAGGGTCGGCACTGGGCCAGCTGCAGGCGCTGCCGGTCCACAGGACAGAAGTCCTGCTCACGCAGGAAGCTGCCCAGGCACTGGTAGCAGTACGTGTGGCCACACGGGGTGTCCATAGGCCGCAGTAGTGGCTGCAGGCAGATGTGGCAAACCAGTTCGTCATCTACCTCATCCCGGTACTCGTACAGGTGGTTCTCCTGTGCGGCATGGGTCTGGCCGCAGTCTTTGCAGACCTGTGCCCAGGTGGAGCTTGGTGTCGAGGTCCTGGGCTCTGTCATGGCAGACGGCAGCGAGGATCTAGTCCAACTCCCTCAGCTCAAAGAAATCAGTGCGTCTTTGTATCCTTCAGATCTCCTCACCACCTCCGCTGCCCCAGATTTCTACTCCAGCGAGCCGCAGCGTTGATCCATTCAGGCGATTGGAGATCCAGAAGCTTCATACTCCAGGATGATTCATGCCAGACTCCTAAAACAGACAGACGCATTTCAAAAATGCGGCTCGAATGAGATTTTACCCCCGGCTCACAGTCCGGTTACAGGAAATTACACATTTCCTTCGGGTCTGATTGTGGCTGTTTCCTCTTTGCTTGTTTCCTCCTCGGTCAAACACTATCCCAAAACAAGCAGCACAACTAAACTGCACAGAAAAGCCAGGATTCAAAACATTTGCCAAAATCAAAAGCAATGTGCAGAAGGAATGAGACCAAAAATGACCCACAACACACTAATCTGGGTGGTTAATTACACCCCCACCCCAAATCAGCAGCAGGTTATTTCGTTTCCAGTGAGGTTTTTTAAAAAAAATATATATTTTTTTAAAACTATACCTCAAACTGCCCCTGTTAATAATACAAGCATACGTTGGAGTATTAATACTACTTCAGGAAGAGACAAATGATATGAGCACCAGTAACCAATAAATATGTACGATAAAAGTCCACGAAATGACAATAAGCAGCTACCACTCTCCACTCAGAATGGCTGTTCCCTGCAGCTGTACAGCTGAGTGAATGATGCATATTATTATTTCATTCAAATCAATACACTGTATAATGAAATGTAAACGATAAATGAACAGTTTAAAGCTTATCACACAACATCCCAAAAGCCTCCCTGAGCACGTTTCCACACACACGTGCACAGACTCAAACGCGCACCATCCCTGCACCTTACCTGCAAGCCAAACTTTGCCAAGGGCAGCAGCCGAAGGCGCTGGCTGCTAACATCCCCCTGTCCTGGCATGCTCCCAGCGCCGCGCTGGCCACCCGCCGCGTTGGAAACGATTACACAGAGCCCTCGTGCTCAGCCCCAGCACCGTGCTCCCGCTCCGTCCGTCACCGGTGTCATCCCGCTAACCTTGAATGCAAGCGGCAACGTAACGACTTCGCCGTGCGGGTAAGACTTCCCCGGCTGAGCTGCTGCTCTGACGGAAGCGAGTGCACTGCGCCTCCAGCCCCGTGTCTGTGTGAGGGAGGGAGGCGCGTGCGCTTGTGTGCGTGTCTGTGTGTGTGTGTGTGTGCGTGCACGCGCGCACAGTGGACACCCTAACAGCCAGGTGCACTGTGGGAAAGCCTCATTTGCATGGCTGCCTAGTGACACTGGCTGTGGAAGGCAAGGTGTTCAGCATGCCGGCAGGACCATGTTACTGGCACTGACTACCTACTAGTGCAGTCTGGTAATTACCAGCCCCGGGACTTTCCCACTTTATTACTGAGGGACTAAGTATTCCCACTTTATTTCTGAGGGACTAAGTATTCCCACTTTATTTCTGAGGGACTAAGTATTCCCACTTTATTTCTGAGGGACTAAATATTCCCACTTTATTTCTGAGGGACTAAATATTCCCACTTTATTTCTGAGGGACTAAGTATTCCCACTTTATTTCTGAGGGACTAAATATTCCCACTTTATTTCTGAGGGACTAAGTATTCCCACTTTATTTCTGAGGGACTAAATATTCCCACTTTATTTCTG